AATACAGTCATGTCATTTTTCTGGTTGCTGCACAATGATGGAGGGCAGGGTTTCACTTAACTGGGGCTTATTTTTGGGGTAGGGCTTATATTATAAGCATCCTGAAAAATCATACTAGGGCTTATTTTCAGGATAGGCCTTATTTTTTGAAAAACAGGGTAGAAGAAGAGAGAACATTAGTGTTGCAGTGTTGTAGTCTTCAGTGAGCTTAATGTCTGAGCTGTCAAAATGGCAACAATGCTTTTGTTTATCTCCTGATGACTAATTACAAAATGAGATAAATGTCAAGGTATGGGCAATCTGAAAACCTTTCTGTGACAAACCCAGACCTATTGGGATATGCCACAGTTTCACTAAGCTGCCACCAACCATTCCCTATAAGAAGTCACACAGACCAGGGATGGATTTTTAACAAATAAAAGAACAAGGTTTATTAAATAACACACAGGGAAAAATAAAAGGATCAAGTGAATAAGATACAGTAACGTGGCTTAGTCTCAATCATACATACACACAGTTTGGTTCACACAGAACACTTAACTTGAAGCACAGACCCTGAACCTATCAGTTCTGGCTAACCATACAGACACCTGAACCTATCAGGTTGGTACTGACTGACACACAGTAGTACCCTGTCTGACACACAGACTCCCACACCAGCTTCTTCTCTCAGCTCTCCTCCAGCTTCTCCACACACGCTCCACATATATATACAGTACAGCCCCTCCTCCTGATGTCCCGCCTTCCACTCCCCATAGGATGGAACTTTCCCTCCAAACCCATGACAGACAGGTAACATCAGTGCTGTATGTAACAGTATCAACTCTACAAGCTCTTCTTTTTCCTCCACTTTCTCCTCTCTTCCCCAGCATGGTTCTACCTCTCCCCCTCCTTCTTCCCCCTTTTCATCTACCTCTTTTCCCATCTGATTTGCGCCCCTTTAGTCTCTTTCTTTATTTCTAATTTACTTAATTCCCTTTCTATAACTCCCGTCTCTTGCTCTTTTGTCTTTGTTTCAGAGTTGGATGGTAGACTCTCCTGATCCTGGTTGACATCTACCTCTTTTCCCATCTGATTTGCGCCCCTTTAGTCTCTTTCTTTATTTCTAATTTACTTAATTCCCTTTCTATAACTCCCGTCTCTTGCTCTTTTGTCTTTGTTTCAGAGTTGGATGGTAGACTCTCCTGATCCTGGTTGAGGTGACTCTTCGCCTCAGAGAGGGCTAGTTCTGACAGATTGCTTTTATATAACCTATACGAACTTGCCCTACTGCTTAGTTCATGGCTTTGTTTTCTTATATACAGTATATAGCATGAAATCACATCTCAAGATGTTTGCCTTCAGAGACCAGAAAATGGAAGACAGAGGAAAGGCATCAAAGGAAATACAGTGGTGCCTTGACTTACAAATGCCCTGACCTACGAACAAATTGACTTAAGAACAGCTCCGGCTGCAAAATTTTGCTTTGACTTGCAGCTGGAACTTTGACCTATGAACAAAAAAAGGCAGGGGAAATGGGGTGGGAAATTCAAAAAAAACTAACTGCTGGTGGCGAAGAGGCTCTTCTTTGTAGCTCTTTCGCCCCAACAGTTAGGGAAAGGGATGTGGCGGCAGTGGTGGGGTCCAGCCGGGAGGCAAGGACCCATCCCAGCCGGGCTCTGGCTCCTGGCTGGACTCCCAGCCAGATCCCGGCTTGGGCAGCTGACCATGGCTAGGAGGCTTGAGAGGAAGCTTCGTGGGGTGGTAAGTGTGCTGCTTTTTACTGTTTGGGATGGCTTTTGCAGAGTGCAATTGAGCTGGTGGGGTTATGTTTGTGTTTTGTTTTGTTTTTTGCAGCCCCAGGGGCTTGCAGATTTTTATTTTTTGGGGGGGGGTTGTATTTTTTTTCTGCCCATCCCGGCTGGGCAGTGGTGGTGGAGCCCAGGCCAGGCAGCGGTGGAAGGCCAAGTGAGCTCCAGGACGGCTCCCCGCCGATGGTGGTTTTGGTGGCGGCGGGGTCCGCGCGGCTGCGGGGAAGGCCGGGTGAGCTCCCAGACGGCTCCCTGCTGACAGTGGTTTTGGCGGCAGTGGGGCCAGGTCGGCTGACCATGGCTGGGAGGCTTGAGAGGAGGCTTCGTGGGGAGGTCAGTGTGCTGCTTTTTACTGTTTTGGATGGCTTTTGCAGGGTGCAAATGGGCTGGTGGGGTTACGTTTGTGTTTTGTTTTTTGCAGCCACAGGTGCCTGCAGATTTTAATTTTTATTTGGGGGGGGTATTTTTTTTCTTCGTCAGGAATGGATTAATGCGTTTTCAATGCATTCCTATGGGAAATGGTGCTTTGACTTAGGAACATTTTGACTTACGAACGCCATTCCAATGCAGATTACGTTCGTAAGTCAAGGCACCACTGTAACAAAAAGAGGCGGTCTTCAAAGAGATATCGAACGTGCTTCCCACAGACACCCTGTGTTAAATGAAAGCATGCCACACTGTGGTTTTTCAAGAAAATCGGAGCTTGCTTTACCACGTTTATGATTTCTAAGTAACTTGGACCATGGCATTTAAGTCACACAATGCATTAAGATCGCAAATTCCAGCAGCAGAGTTATGTCCAATATACAAGTCTCCACTTCGTAAATCTGGAGGATCAAGCTCCCTATACAGAAAGTCTGTCCTTGTGTGTGTACATATACTGTACATAAAAATAACACGTAAGGGGGGAAACGCAGCCAGTGATCACGGGATTTGTGAATGTGATACTAGAAACCCTGCCCTCCCAATGTTACTGTTTATGATTTCTCGCTAGTATTCCCTCTTTATACCAGTGTCTCCGCTGAAAATATTTCCAAGATACAAATATCTGCTTTACAAGGAGAGCAGTGGTCACTTAAAAACGTAGCCCTTGAGGGTGGCAGAGCTGGTTGTCCTTTTTAAAACCCCTTTTTAGGAGACGTAGGTGGCGAGATCCCCTTCTTCCGAATGACTAGGGACCATTTCAGCCCTCAGACCCCCCACCCCAAGCACGACACACGCCCTCCGGAGGAAATCTCCTCTTTGCGCCTTCCCCATTTCCGCCTTCCCTGACCTTCGTCCCCTTCCTTTCTCGCGAGACTCCCTCAAGCCTCGCGTCAGCTCTGCGTCGCCATCTTAGCCGTTCTGGCGCGTCTGTAGCCTTAGTGGCCGCGCGAGGCGAAGGCGGTGGGGTGGTGGGAGGGGAAGGGTTTCGCCTCGGACCCTGGGGGGCCGGCTGGATCTGGTCCAGGCTGCGAAGAAGAGCGCCTTGGGCGGCGCGGCCCGCTCCGGAGCGCGCGGGGCCGGCCTGGCCTGGC